AAATAGGAGTTTCTACTTCTATAACAATCTAAAATCTGTCACCATTCAAAGCTTTTTGTCATTTACTACAAGATGACTCATCAAAAAATATTGTCAAACTGCAATGTCATTAAAAACAAAAAAAAAAAAAAGAGAAATTTAAAAAAGGAGACAAGAAGAGAGAATGTGATGTTTCAGTTAGCATTCCTTTGACAAAGTTGACATTTCTACGTGGGAAAATTTCAAACTTTTGATTACAAATTTCATTATTTTTTCGTTTCGACTAAAATCGGAGCTATTTTATGCCTCTAAAATGAAATTTGAATAAAAGCTGGAAATTTTACAATAGAATTAAATATTTAATTTATCTACAAGGTATATCTGTTAATTACGAAACTGCTAATTAGCTTTCAGAATGAACAAAATTTTTAACGGTTACTATTTGAATAAAAATGAGGAAATATTCAGTTAATTTAGATTTTTATGTAATTAATTAATGACGATAATTGTTTTTATTTTACTCTCTTATGGTTTAAATAAAATTTAAAATCAAAATATAATCTATTTCTTTCATTTTCTTTCCATTGCATTAAAAACAAAAACAGTAAACTTTATATTTATGTTACGGGAGATTGTATATTTACACGGCGATGTATATACCGCGGGAGACGGGGGAGCGATGACACAATGGAATATCATCTAATTATTGTTACCATTTTCAAATAGTGATTTTCAAATACATCCATTAATTTTCATTTTTTTTTTCGCCTATATTTTTATTTTATGACAAAATTTATTACTTTTTATTATGTATTGGGATGGTTTGTTCTATGAGTACTGTTACCGTAACTTTTCTGATAAATCTTTGATTACTTTTGTAATAAATTCAAAAATTATGTGCAACAAAGTATCATCTAGCTTAATGATATACAAAGTACAATTAATATCATCAAAGAAGTGGGAAAGAGAATTCTGAAATAATTCACTAACTTAATACTACTGTAGTATAAATTTCAAATTCTTTTAACTTGAAGTACAAGTGATTCTATGCTGGGTGACATTTTTGAAAAAATTTAATCTTAAACGAATTAATTTAATCTTTGATCTTTAAGATAATTAGAAATATACATATATATATATATCTTGAAATGATGTATGGAAATTTTTATCATAAAAATTAATTAAACCGGAAAATGAAATATCACTGAGTTTTTCCGGAAGGAAATAATTTATCAAATAATGAAATGAAGAAAAATCCTATGGTATATATCGTAATAAAACAATTTTATTGTTTATAAATGTAGCAATTAATAATTAAAATTTGTGTGAATTAAAGAAATTATTCTTCATATTATTAGAATTTTTGTTCTTAATTTTTTTTTTCTCCGCAAATTTCATTTATTTATTTACATCTCAAATTTAGCTCAAATTTTTTTTTTCTCAATTTTAAATATGGGAAATTATATAAAGTGTTTAAGAATATTCTCTCTGATCAAAAAAATAAATTAGAATAAATTTGTGATAAAGGTATGCTCTGTCCATATATATATATATATATATATATATATATCTAGATGTATTTGGGTGTTTCAAAATAGTTCACCCGATTAAAACAGGTGATGTTTATCGATACCTTTCAGTTACCATTAATATAGGATATGTAATTTGTGACAATTTTTCATCAGTGGTACCATAATTAATAAATTTATTGTTATGTATATGTGTATGTGTGTATATGTACGTATGTTTGTTTGTTTGTTTGTTTGTTTATTTATTTATTTATTTATTTATTTGTTTTTCTGTCCATTTTAATTCTTTCTTTTTTTTTTTTCTTTTCCTTTGCAATAAATTATCCATTTCATTTGTATACGTGAAAATATGACAGTAACATCGAAATGATTTCTTTTTTTTTTTTAAAGAAAATTTTGTTTTAACATCAAAAAATTTATTCTCTTTTAAAATGAGAAAATATGTAAGAATGATAGATACATATCACATCTACGTGTATATTTATGTACAAACGTGTACATATTTGGGTATTTTACAGATAACCAGTTTTAGTTTAGTTTTAGAATGATTAATGCTAACATACCTTTTTTTTTTTTCTTTTGTTTTTCAAATAAAAAGGAAAGAAAACAAAAAAAAAAAAGAAGAAAATCTTTCGAATTTTATTTTCCTTATCATTTATCAGCAGCTATTTCAATTGAAATAATAATAATATGGGAATTTATCATGGAATTAAAATTATCAAGATATTGTATGCTAATTGAAATATCAATCTATTAAGATATCATTTACTAATAAAATCTATTAAAATATCAATTAAATTATTAGATACAAATAAAATAATTATTAAAATATTAATTATATAGTATTTAAGATATCAATATCAATAGTAGTAACAACTACCGTATGCTATAAATTCGTGCTATTACCATACTTTGATAATTCCATTTATATTTTTCAAGAATTTTTTTTTTTTGGTTTCATGCTTATCTATTATTTACATTGTAAAAATTAAATTTCAAATAAGGGAAAAAGGATGACAAATTGAATTGAATGATAATCTAAAAAAAAGAGACAAAAAAAGAGAAAAGAAAGAAGAAAAGATGAAAAATGAGAAAAAAAAAGGTAACAAAATGATTTTTATGAAAAATATTTGTTCCATTGGAACCAATCATATTGGCTACTATTGGTCAAATTTTAATGGTCATTAAAATCCTAAGCTTATGATTGGATCTGATCAATAATCAATGCGACAATTTCTATTATTAATTATTTCCCCTCGTTTGAAATCATGATATCATTGTAAGCTATTTTACACATCTATTGTTCATCTCATTTTTTTTTTTTGCATTACTCATTTATCAATGAATAAATAAAAAAAAAAAACAAAATTTGCTAACTAAAACAGCTAAGTAAACAAGTATTGGAACAAAAGCAAATAATTAATTAATGATGTGATAGTTATAAAATTGAACAAAAAAAAAGACTAAACTAATGTATTCAAACGACAAATTATTGCCTTCAACAATTTGCTTAATTATATGCTAATTAATTATAATTTCAGGACATTGTGATCAAACATTGGATTGCCATTTATGTGGTATTTGCTCTGCAAAGTTTTACAATGTTGAACGATTCATTGAACATAAGAAAAATTGTTCAATTTCAGATATACAGGTTTGAGATATTAAATAACTTTTGATAATTAGAAATTGTTAGTTTTTAATTCCTCATCAATCATTTTTCATTTGCTTCTCATTCAATTACTCATTTTACATTCCAATAATTTTGATTTCCGATTATTTTTTTTCTACAATATTTAACTTTTTAAAAAACATATTTGCATTTCCATTTCGACATATTTAAATTTTTATTTTACAACCTAAGCTTTTTGAGTTTAAGCTTAATTTTTTCTTTTTCAGTAAACTATTAAAGGAACAATTTACTTCATTTACATTAGAGTGCAAATTAAAATAATATTTGAATTTCTTTTGATAATTTGAACAGAATTGTAGAGTTCGATAATAACAGCAAATCCGGATACAGAATCGGTACCGATTGATTTGTCGAAGAAGCATGTTTCAGATGATCTTGATAGAAAAAGTATTCTAGAAGACAAATCTAATTTATTATTTGATCCTTTACAAACAATACAATCTCATCAACAGGTATCTTATCATTTCTCATTTTTTTAGTTGTTGAAATAATTTTGATAATGATTGCAAATATCTAATTAATGAATTAATTAAAATTGTTAGATTAGATAGCTGAATACAATAAATTATCGCTAAAAAAATTAATATTTAAGAAAAAAAAAAAAAAAAAAAAACTAGTAATACATAAT